CGAAAATGGGTGCTGAAATGCAAAGCTTTTCTATAACATTCCCTTTAAATCACTGCCAGCTATATTCCAGACAGCTTCTAAATCCAGCTCTCGGCAAAAACATTGCTACTCTTAGAAATATACTATTTCTTTTTAAAAGGGAGGGTCAGAAGGGCTCGTTAAAATGGGTTCAAGAAGCCATAGAAAAGCCACCTGTTGGTCAGAAACCCAAAACCACGCACAGTTGATAGGTATGGAAACAGAATCAAAATATCTCACTGGAGAGCAAACTAGCCCTGAGTCCTAATCTATGCAGGTCCTAACCAAGAGAGCTGCCATTAAATCTCCATGTTTTCCCCACAAACAGACTCTTACTGCAGTGGTGTTGAACAGCTAAGGCCCTAGGAAACAAGGTTCAAACTGAAGGTCGTCCTACAGCAGGCGCATTGCATAGGTGCTCTGAAGATGAATGGCCAAAGTAGAGTTGCCAGATAAAATACAGTGCTCCCCGGTGAAAAACTGAATTTTAATGTTACACGGGATATATTTAGAATCACTATTGACTTGAAATTCAAATGTGACTAGATAGCCCGAGTTTTTATCTGTTCAATGTGGCAACGTGGGGCACAGAAAAATTAAGATAGTACACTTTCCGTTAACAGTCTCCCTACACCTAGTGAAAGCATTCATGGACGGAACCCTACGCTTCTCGACCTCATTTGATGGTTCTCATTACTTACAAAAATGGCAGAATTTTCGAGGTTGGTAAGCAGTGTTAGGAACACATAACTGATGGGCTGTGCTCGTGTGAAGGATTATGACAAATATTTAAAGATGCAAGTGCTAGAGATGTTACATCAGTTCCTGTCATTTAAGCAACTGAAGATATCATAAACTGCCTACATCAGGAGTCTGGCTTTCTAGTCCGGCTTTCACATTAACCCGGCGATAACCTATTGACCGCACATATCCCACGAGAAAGCAACCATAGGGTGAAGCAGACACAACCCACCCACTTCTTAGAGCTGGCATTGTCTTCTACAGGAAACATTAACTTTCCACTTGCTATCTCACAAGAAAGGCAAATCCTTGTCTCCTAAACACCGATTGAGAAAAGGTATTCTTAAAAGGAGGTGGATAGTTCTAACGGCTCTCATAAGGGACCTACATTTGCCGTGGGTCCCACTCAGGTGATAAACATGTTTTTAAATGCCACTCCCTGTGTTTTTTGTGGGTCCTGGGCTTTCCCCATCCCCAAGTGAAAATTATTGCTTTAGAAAGTTGTCTTAGCATGAATACTTGACCAGTATTTCCTTCATAAAAACACTGGCACAATTAGCAAAGACCCAGGGGCTAAGGATCAATTAGCGATCTGGCCATTATCAAGGACTCTGCGTTCTGGAGAAAGTCACTCAGAATCATCAGATAAAATGACCCATTTACTCCAAATCATCCCCGAATGTGTTGCTCTGAGGATTTGACCTTTCAGATCTAGCTGACTTGGGTTTTCCTAATACACACATTTGCAAAAGTCCTTAGTGAGGACTTTATTTTTCTTTAATTATAACTAAACCTTTTTTTTTCCTGATCACTGTGCTACGTCTGAACTAACACATCCTTAACCTTTTAAAGTACGCATTTAGTGGCTCAGCTGACTGTCTTCCTACTTTGCAGTGTGAGTTTGCTGGGACAGTCAGCCTTGCCATGTTAGTGGCAGTTTGGAGTCTGGAGTATCAGTGACAATACTGATATCACCTCTGCATTTGGGGACCTGTGTGTTCAGTGCTGGGTATAATCAGCTTTATTAAGGTTAAGAGCACAAGGGCTAACATTATCGAGCATTTTCTATGTCCCCAGCACTGTATTCTTGTAGGTATGCTCAGTCAATTAACATTTTCTCCAACCATATGAGGGGCTCCCCTCCCTTAATTTTAAATATAAGAAAATGCAGGGTGGTTAAGGTGCTTGTCCTGAACTAGGGTGGGTACTGTAAATAACCAGGCTGCAGAATCTACTTGTTCCACATAGACGCTTTGCCTCAATGAATGCATCAGAGGACATTACAAAGAGCTTGCAATTTTTAGGTCTCTTCATTCAAAGGAATACGGCATGTCTTTTACTGTGACCACAGATTTCAGGAGAAAGGAATGCAGGCAACTCTCCCTGATTTCCTCCAGTACACCTTCCCGGAGAAAGGGGGCGATTCTGCAGTATATTTGTGACACGGCTACTGAACTAACACACATGAGACCTTGTATAGGCAAAAAGCAGTGGCCGATGTTAATCATGTAGAGAAGAGAGAGCTGATGGATGGGGAACACGCATGTGTGCATGCACGCGCATGTGCACATGCACACATACACATGCATGTGTGCACACACACAGATCCCTTGCTGGTGAGCAGACTGAAATTCTAGCTCTCTTCACCTTGCTTAGCAGAGGACCAATGAGTGCCCCAGGGTGCCTGGGAACAGGGTGCACTGTGCACCGTCTTCCAGATCTGGGCTGGGGTAGACAGGGAAGACCTAGCGCAAGAGAAGCTGGGTCACTGGCTTCTCATATATGTGGACTACTCCTACATAATGAATTTCTTTTGTCTTCTTAAGTGTTTAAAAAAGCCATTTGTGTGCATATATATATATATCACTGAGGGGCACTTCAGGGGACAAATATTGAGCTGTCTCCTGTCAAAGTACATACATTTCAAGTGCCCATAATATATACTGGATGAAACACATTTATCAAGAGGATTTGTTGAGCTAAAAATTTAAGCCCAGTTGGGCAGTGTCTCTAGTTCAATAGGTATCACTTTAAGGTTTGTTCAAGTTTTTCTGAAGCCTCTAACGCTGGAGAGAAAACAGAACAGGAAAACAAAAAGCTACCCTTTGGTGAGTAGCTTGCCAGGGAAGCTCAGTACAAGCTGCCCAGCACCGGTGCCTGCTATTATCCAGAACCTTCTAGAAAAATATATCAATCTGAAACTGCTTTACTTTGGAATGCGGAGACTCTCATGAGGTATTTATGATAATTTTGGCATTATTTTCCAGTCTATTTATGGTAGGCAGTTTTATTAACAAACTGTCCATGGAAAGATTCATTCAGATTCACAAACTCCAGAGAAAGCTGCCCTCCGCGTCCTAGTTCCCTGTATGGGGTAGCAACATGAAGACCAAGTAAGGGAAAGAGGCAATATGTCTTCCTAGGCCTCCAGAGCCCATGACCTGATGGCCCAGATCCCAGTAGAAGAAGCCCGAGGGCATAGAACTGGGGCTGCTCAGCCAGTCTCTGAAACACCAGCCACCTGGCTCTGGGGGAGGGGAGGAGCAATGAGCAATATTTTTGTCTCAACACTGCACAGTTGAACAGGAAGACTAGATAAATCAATCAACCAACCAATCATCAATCACCAATCAATCAGTAAACCATCTTATTTGAGCTCCTTATTAAAATTTATTCATTTTTGTTTTTTGTTTGTTTGTTTTGGTTTTTTCCAACCGCCATGTTCAACAATATTAAGCACGCAAATAAATAATAAATAAATGGATAAAGGTGAAAAGTCAATTTAGCAAACAAAATCAGCCCGCAGCAGGTTTCTTAAGCTTCTTAAATGGGTTCCCTTTCGGGTCCTCAAATTCTCCTTGGAGGACTAGGGAACTACTTTTGGACCCAATCCAGCCAGGGAGGCTATTCCATTTCAGGTTTAAGCGCTCCTCTCCCGAGAGGACTGCCACGGAAGCCGCCCGATCGTTCCAGAAAGATCTGCAGGCAGGTCTCTAGCCCTTGCAGATGAAAGGCTCTCCCAGACGTAAGTATGGAGAGAAAACAGCGTGCTATTGGCTCGAGCTAGGGGAACTTTCCCTTAAAACTACGTTATCCGCTGAGAGCCGCGGAGGAAGCTTCCAGATTCTTCTCAAGGAGTTGTGACTTCTTTTGGGCGGGGGCAGGGAGGCACATTTACAGGAACCCAAGCAGTTCAAGAAGGAAAACCCTTGAACTAAAGCTTGACTCTTGAATTGGCTTGTATGTGGTTTTGGATCAGTTCTTAAGCAGACCAGACTGTCCTCTTGGGTTACTCTCCCTCCGTCCACCCCACCCCCAACCCCCTCACCTTGTCCCTTATCCATAGTTCTTTATTGGGCTATACTTTTTTTTTTCCTGGATAAAAACCTAGGTATCAACCCCAGACGAAGGTGCCTGATTTTTCTGGCCTGGGTTGTCTACCCAAGGTCGTGGCTGGCTAGTAGTCCCTAGACCGTCCGGCGGCAGGGGGGAGGGTGCACGCTTAGAGGCAGCGTAGAGCCAGAGAGTGACATTTAGGGGTGGGCGCATAGGCAGAAGGAGGTGTGTACCCTACTTTTAGCCAAGTAACTAATTTCATTCAGGGAGCACATTTTTGGAAGGCTCCTTGGCCACAGTAGACCTGCAGTTCTCCAGCAGCGATCGCAAGCTTGACCCCAGCCTGGGCCTCTGCCCCTGAGACAGTGCCGCATCATCCCTAAGCCTAAGTAAAAAGCGACGCGGGAGTTCCAGGGACCTCTAAGTCCTAGAGCGCCAGGCCGGTTGAGCGCACAGGATGCTGAAGCCCTCTTCTCAGCGGCTTTATCCGACCCCTGCTCTGGCTCTGTATTCCAGGCAGGACAAGACACGGGAAGAAGTGATGTCTTGTGGCAGGTGCGCTCTGAGACTCCAGCAAAGAGGAGAAGCCGCCGCAGAGAACAGTCGTCTCCATGCGGGGTTCGGGATTCTAACGCATCAGTTAGCCGGCCACCTGTTTCACAAAGCTTGAATTGGGGGGGGGGGGGGGAGGGGGAGGACACAGGCTGCCGCAGCAAGGACCCAGTCTTTTCTCCCCTCCAGGCCCGCCAAAACCGTACATCTCAAACCTGTGTGCGCATACCTGCAGACCCACCACCCTCCAGTGGCGACTTACTTCCCGGTGTCGCTTTCCCTCCACCCCCACTCCCCCCGGCTCTAGTGCCGGCCTCCCCGCGCCTAGCTCTTCAGCTGAGCGAACCAAGTACCTGCGGTGAAGATGCAGAGAGTGATGAGCGCCTTGCAGCCCATGTTACTCCGGTGCTCGGTACCGAGCTGGACGCTGCTAGGGAAGAGTTTCCTGGGGTTGGCCAAGTGCGTCCGGGCACAGGCAGCTCCTCTACCGCCTGGTGGGCTGCGGGAGAGGGTGGTGCTGACTTCCCGGAGCGATCAGTCCAGGCAGCTACTGTGGCAGCTTTGGTGTCTGGCGGTGCTAGGCGAAAAGGAGGTGGCGCACAAAGTCAGCTGTGTACCCTGCGGCGCCAGGCGCACTTCTGCTCCATCCCAGCTGCCCGAGCACAGAGCCCGCCTGCAACACCGCCAAACCCCTCCCACCCAGCCCTCCTGCGAGGACAGGGGCCACCCACTGGCCTTCCCCCTCCCTGTGCACACGGGTCCCAGGAGTCCCGGCCCAGGGCGGCCTCTGCTGGACAGTGGGCGCAAACCCGAGCTTTCAGTGGATTCAGCGGCAGCTCAGAGAGCCTTGCACTGTTCTAGAAGCCCAGGCAATGCACAGTGCTAATGAATGGGTCCTTGCCCTCAGGAATCCAACTCAGTTTCCCCTTATGAAAACACATTACCTTTAGAGAGGTGATCAAAAAGTTATTTCAGAGAATCGATACATTTCTTCCCAAGTATGGGACGAAGACCTTCTCCTTCATTTCTCTGTGTACATTAAACCCTCACCAGTCCTAAACTCCTGCTGCACTTCCTGGTGTCTGGGCTACCTTATTCAGCTTCAAACCAGAAGAAATACCACTATCTGGTGACACGATCGCCAGATAACTGAACCACGTGTCTGACTAGTTACCGCCCTGAAATTTCTTCTACTAACCCAGAAGCATAAAAGTTATTATTTCACAGGTAAGAAATTGTAGGCATGAGAAATTAAGGAACATGCTATGTTTATATAGCTTGTAAGGATGGTTTGTACAGCAGGCCCATAATCACAATATAATAATATACTGTTGAGTAATAATAATAATAATAATAATAATAATAATAATAATAATAATAGTTGACATTTCCTGAGAAATGGAAAAGGGCCAGGCAATGGACAATGTACATTCATACAACCCAAGTTCAGTCACTCACTTACTATGGCAATCATCCCAGGTGGGTACATTGTATCCTTGATTGTTTGGGGTAGGACATAAGTCTGTTTCCTCAGGCCTCACAGTTAGTAAAAGGTAACCAGATACCTCCCTGGGCTCACTCTCTATACTTGAATGCCTCTCCAAAGATCAGGGCTTCTCCAAAGAGGGGTGAAAACTGACCTTTCACCTAATTCTCCTGTTAGGATTCAGGCATTATGCTGACCTGTCCTGTCTCCTGCAGGATGTACCCAGGCATTACTCTAGCCAGCCCAGGGTCCTAGTTTGAACACAGGTGTGAAGGTCCCTTTAAGAGGCAAGTTCTGCCCACTCCTGACTGCTCTTTCCAACTATTCCTCCTCTTTTCTGCCTCTTCTCCTCTCTCTCTCTCTCTCTCTCCTCCTTTCTCTCTCTCTCTCCTCCTCCTCTCTCTCTCTCTCTCTCTCTCTCTCTCTCTCTCTCTCTCTCTCTCTCTCTCGTTCTCTCTTCCCGTCCCATTCCCTTAATTTCAAATAAACACCACACTCAAGCTCTGTCTGCAGGGTGTATTTGTCACCCACTGCTGTCCTCAGCTGCCATGGGACACCTCAAGGTCCCAGTGGTGCCATTTACAATATCTCCCCCTGTCCTCCTCCCCCCCCCCCCACACACCTCCTAGTTCCAATACCTGTTACATGCCACATCCTCTTCAGTTTGGTGCAGTCTGAGCCTGGTGCCCCCTAGTGACCAGCTAGAACCGAGAGTTGTAAGAGTAAAGAAACCGTCTTGAGGACTTGAAGAGCTTGGTGCCCTCTGTGGAACTGACGTCCTCTCATTGGCTGTGTCATTTTCCTCATGTCAGGGGCTCCTCTCTTTCTCCGTCAGGGTTCATGACTTTAACTGTGGCCTCGCCTCACTACCACCGCTTGAAGATCTTGGACTTCCACAAGAATTACACGGGGCCCATAATTGTCCTGTCTTCACAAATGCACAGATTCCTGTTGGGATATGAAGCAAAAATACGTCAAGTAAGGACCGAATCCTCTTTCCTGCCTCCTTGGCTCCCCCAAACTCACAAATTAAACGTCTTAAACATTTCTCTGAAGCTTTTCAGTGTCTACTTGACTCGTATGATTGCAAAGCGTTTTGACATCGGGGCTTTGATTGTCTCGGAGTCTGCAGCCAGACACAGATGGAGCCTGACAGGGGCATTCTTTAAGGCACTGTCTGGTGTTGTGTCCCACATTGGAGAGCCATCTGTCAGGGTCCAGCCTCGACGGGTTCACACGTTCCAGAGTAGGGCGTGTGGATTAAAAATGTTAGGTGGAATAAACAGAGATAGATATACGGTGAGAAAGGATAGTACTGGGAGGGCAGCTCAGGGAATACTGAATCTGCCCTTGTTTATTTCTTATGACCTTTAAATACCCCAAGCCAAAGAAGGGGAAGAAAGCAAAAGACTTTTTTTTTTTATCCTGAGACAAGGAACAAATGAAGTGATTACCATCTTAATTCCCAAAGCACCAAGTAGCCACACCCTAGGTCAAGATATCTTTGTTAGTAGTCACACCTTAAGTTAAATCTCCTGTCGATAACCTTGAAGGAGCAAGAATAGCCTTAAACGCCTGACTCGTAGTCAGGATAGAAGTGTGCGCTTCTGTGGGCCATTTACAAATCCAAAACACCAAACAGCTGTACACTAGGTCAGAATATCTTGTTTGTAGCCACTCCCCAAGTCAGACTTCACATCTATAACCTTGAAAGAGAAAGTGTGGCCGTAGTTCTCTGACCTTCAGTCAGGGTGGAGCAGATTCTGCAGACCCCCACAGACTGGTGCCTTTCCCTTTATAGGGGCTGACTTAAGTAAGGTTGCATAGCATAGATGTCTGTTTATCTTTCTGAAAAGACTAAAACCGTCCCTGAACATTGGTTTCTGCAGGTTACAGAGCATCTCCAGCATTTCAGAGTGCACCAGTGCCTTTTTAGTTCATTTATTGTTTATTCTCTGACAGTTTCATACATCCAAGTAGTGGATTTTAGTCCTTCTCTTGGCCTCTTTCCCTGTCTCAACCCCTCTCCTTCTCCTCCTGTAGCCCTTCTTGCAGTGAAAACACCCGTCACACACACACATACAGTAAACATTGACAGAACCATAGGAGATTCTGTTCTAATCCCAAGCCAAAATTCATTAACGATACCTTTAGTGAAACTACACAGAAACTTAAGCAGCAATTCCAAAAAGAAAACAAACATTTGAATACAATACAAGCAAAGATACACAATTTGCTGCTTGTGTACTGAGGAACTAACAGTAGGAAAATATTAAAAAGTCTTTGTTTTCTGTAATTAAACCATTATGCATCTGTAAGAGGAGAAAAGTCTGTGTGTAAAGTAAGAAAATTAAAATTCTTGACACAAAATAATCTTGAGTATAAGCTGAGGTGTTTCAGGCAGTGTGAAATGGCATTAAATGGTATGATGGTATTCCCAATGTTAAATTACATGCTATGTGTTTTGACCCAAGTTTGCAGCGAAGCCTCTAGATGCAACACAATCAACATCTATTAGAAACACTTGGGTGATGGAGGAAGGTCATTGGCTAATAAAGAAACTGCCTTGGCCCATTTGATAGGCCAGCCTTTAGGTGGGTGGAGTAAACAGAACAGAATGCTAGGAAGAAGGGAAGTGAGCTCAGAAGGCATGCCTGCTCCTCTCCAGGGCAGACGCGATGAAGCTCCGACCCAGGATGGATGTAGGCTAGAATCTTCCTGGTAAGTGCACCTCGGTGCTACACACATTAATAGAAATGGGCCAAGCAGTGTTTATATGAATACAGACTGTATGTAGTTATTTTGGGACATAAGCTAGCCAGGTGGCTGGGAGCTGGGTGGCAGGAACGCAGCCTGAGCTCCTTCAACACTTGGGTTTGAATTAATTATCTCTCTGAACAATTTTATAACTCTATGTTCAGTTACATAACTATATGTGGTTACTCCTGGCTGTGAGCTAAAGCAAGTCAATGGTCATGTCCAAATTCAAGAAAGCTAGGAAGCTTAATCTTCTCATGTGACCAGAGAGAGAGGCGAAAGTCTACTGGGGAAGAGTTATGAAATGTTTATTGATTCTTCCACCAGCAGGTTTCTACATAGAATGATTAATCAAAAAAACATAATCATAAAAGTTTTTTATATTAAGTGTTACAAATAAATATCTAATATCATTTATTGACATCTGTTATTAAGAAAATTTCTAAGTTGTGTGTGTGTGTGTGTGTGTGTGTGTACATGCATTTGTTTGCACTTTATGAGGTAAGTACCAGAATATACCACACCAAAATATACCCTTTGGGCATAATAATTACTTTGAGAAATAGGGAGAATAGGTTGGAAGTAACTCTCTTACAGAGGGGAACTTAGAAAGAAAACAGCTGTTTGTAAGGATGTCTCTATGTCAGGACTAAGAGAAATAAGGATGACTAAATTACTAGACACATTGATCCGTTGGCAGAGAAGTGGGCTAAGTATGTTCAGCTCGGAGCTACCTTCTCCACCCTGGCAGCGGCAGCCACTCTCTGATTCCTCCTTCCCAATAAATCTCTTGAATGAGTTCTGGGGGAAGACTTTCTTTCTCAGGAGTGGAATGGGGCAGAAAGTAACAACTTTCGCCCTTTCACCAGAGCAAGAGCAAATATGGAGGGGGTAGGGGGTGGGCAGCACCCCTTAGCAGAGAGGAACCCAGAAGTAACAACTTTTTCAGGTGTAGAATTACTACGTCTCTTTGGGGTAACTTCCTTAACAGAGTGGAGTAGAGCTGAGCTGAGCTGTAATGGCTCTCTGGGAGAGCAGCAGGCTTGCTATATGCCTACAGGGAAACCACCCCACATCAGAATAGAGCTATAGTTCAGCCTGGCTTCTGACAGCCAAAACACCTTTCCTTTCTGAGCTGTAATACTTACAGATATAGCCTGACAGCCAGGATAAGTTTCCCTTCCAACCTATAGGAATAGCCTGGCTTCTGACAGCCAGGATACCTTTCCCTCCAGAGCTGTAACATTTACATGCACTCTTAAACTTGTTTTTTTTCTCATATTAATCTGCCTCTCATAACAGAGGGTCCAAGCTAAGATATTCTATATAAGAAAGTCAAAACTAAATTTTCTCTCCTGTGATACTACTATTCTAGACTTGAAAGTAAAGTAATTAAGATACTTGGAGTTGAAGAAAACTGAAGGATGCGAA